CAAAAAAGCAAAAAAAAAAAAAAAATGCTCTTTTCACAGTTTGTCTATGGATTGCATAAAAAAAACCTCACTCATTTTTGCAAGACACTATCAAAAGAAAGCCCTTTTGTTCTAAAGAAATACAATACATGTATTACTTTGTTATCTTAAGTAATGAAAGTTGTTGTCGAATAAACAGGCCCATAGTGGAAATGTAAACATTGCTCTGGTCCATAGGGGGGTGTACAGGTACGAAAGCTAAGGTATTTAAAATGAAACTCCACTTTCGTAGAAAAAAAAATAAAAATAAAACTAAAGAATTGTGTGGAGACTTCTATGAATGTATAAGTTATGGAGCAGAGCCCCATGCCCTCAGCACTTTTGTGTGTGTGAGATATATATATATATATATATATCACGGTAGTGCATATGAAATTGCTACATAAGCTATTTTGTAATTTAATGTTAAAAAAAACTAAATTACCTTTTAATTTCAATCTGAAGCCACTGTTGGTTACAAAACATTCAATGTAATATGGCAACCAGGAAGTGGTCTATACACAGTTGTGTATGGAATGTGCCCAGAATGTCATTTTCTGATAGGTGGATTGTCACAGATTTTTCTTGAAGTCTACGCTAAAAGATACAAGTAAATTTTAAGCCACCCCGTTCCATAGAAATTATATTTTTGAGGAGATACTCCGTAAGGGTTAACCATTTCTAGGCACTGCAACTTCCTTATTCGAACACCAGGTGATTATAATAAACCCGACTCTCCCATTCAGGGATCAGTTTGGAAAGGACATGCAGCCTTTTCTTCAGAACAGAAGGTGGGAATCGGCAACAAAGTACATTAATCACCCAGAGGGGGTTGTTTTCTCTCAAACGTGGCGTTACACTTCAAAGAAGCTGCTTGCTACATAATGGTCCAGCCATAGACACATCTTCACAGCATACAGTTCTCATTAGAATGACAGATTACATCAGGTTGTCAAACAATATAAACCTGCCACCACTACTACTAACCAGTAAAGCTTTAAGAAGATACAAGATAAGTTACACTGATTTATCTGTAAGTGTTATCTACAACCCTGAAACAATCTAGTACTTTCCTTCAGTAGCAAAGTTACCTACACATGGGATCCATGACCTACAAAACTAATTAATTGCTGTTGTGTGAGAGCTAACATTACGACTAGTGATGCAAGTGCTCTGCTGGAGTTACTGGGCCCTCAACATGCAGGGAACCTATACACTTTGGGACTTTAGTTATAGTAATTGTGCCAAGTGTACAAAACTCTTATCCTGCAGTATTATACTGCAGTATGTAGCACCTTTTTATCTTTTAGTTTTCAATAGGTATTATATGGGGCTTGGTGGGAACCCGCTAAGCCCGCTCAAAACTATGACTTTCACCCCTCTCTCCCGGCACAATCAGTTCCGAAATAGCGTCAGTGACATTTCTTAGCCCCTTTTGACACACAGCTGTTGGGCTAGGGAGTGCACCTTTTGCAACTGGGCTGGAAGGAGGGTGTGGGGACACTAGGTTCACACCAAGCCCAGGATAATCAGTAGTCATCAATACAGTGGATACATATACAGGCATCTCAGAAACTCTCTTTAGCTGTTCTATAGATTAGCATCAAACAATGTCCTAACTTACCAATGTATTCATTAACGTCCACTACACCATCTCCATTTTTATCTAGGTCCTCTATGGTTTCCTGCAAAAACAAAATATAGAACATTAAAGTCAAACATAAGCAATGGCTGCTGACCAAGATCTTGACTGGGGTATCACTATGCTTATGCTCCTCTATGCAATATCACCAAAGAAGCATATCATTAAAAGTCAAACCTTTCCACTCTGTGCTGTGAAACGTTGAACTAAAGTAAAACTGCCGGGCTTAATGAAACCCAGACTGGTTTATCTTCAGGTCCTCACTGGCACTACAGCAATTGGCAGAAAGTTTATGCCCACCAGCTGGTTAGTCTGAACCAATACTTTTCATAGAAGAAATTTCTGCGTTTGTGTATTCTGGCAGTGGACTGTGGTAATAAAATATTTCTAGACACCCTGGCACCAACTTTATAAAATGTATTTAAAAGCACACACAAAAAAAGCATTTTAAATGCATACTTTTAGCAGATTTCCTTTCCATAAAGGTTTTTATTCCCTTGCAATTTGCCTTTGAACTTGCTAGTGAATTCTAATCAAGCCATCAAAACTAGATAGATTCTCCTAGCCACAGGCACCGTTCCCCCCTACCTCCTGCTACATCATAGTCCTCTCCTCTTCTTGGACTGTCTTTGCTGGCACAGCTCCTCTGCCCCTCCCTATATAACCTTTTATGTAGCTGCCGGGGGAAGAGTAAAGAGGAATACTATAGAGCATCATTTAAATGACAGCTCCGAGACTGCTCGAGCTGCTGTCATTACAACCAAAATGCAGAAGTCTTGGGTATTCAGGGCCGCATCACACTACAAAGAGTGCGTTGAAAAGCATTCGACCTCTGGAACACAACCTGGCCGCCTCCCTACGTTCAGGGGTGGGAGGGGGTGTGGTGGTGCATTGCAGTCAATGGCACCGCAGCCACACCCCCCCGCCCACAGTGTGATCACTTGCACACCGAACGCGTGGCACATTAGTGGCTGCGTCCTGGTCCAGTGCAATCTGCACTGCGGGCGGGGGTGTGGCTGCGGTGCCATCAATGCATCGCCACGCCCCCTCCCACACCTGAATGCAGGGAGGCGGCCGGGTTGCGTTCCAGAAGCCGAACGCTCTGAAACGCACTTTGTGGTGTGAACCGGCCCTAAATGCACATATAATCTTATGGGAAGACTGCTAAAATGAACGGTCTGGTGATAACTTCATCAAGACTATGACGAGTTTGGCAAAGCAAATAAAGTGTGAAAGGCTCCACTAATTAACCTAGCCAATAATTTAAATGTGCATTTCCTTCTGTAAAGTGAGCAAGCAAGGTACTCACTGTGACCACCATATCCTTCATATAGTCAAACTCTTCTGGGTGCAGGAATGCAGTGAACTCTTCCCGGGTGGCAATCAAGTCACCATCTTTGTTTGCTTGCTTAAATCGGCGCTCATCCCGTTTCATCATCTGTCTGTATCTTTCCTTGTCAACTACATCGTAAAATGCTTCTTCATCTAGAAGAGGAGAGGAAAGGGGGGGGGGGGGGGACTCTATCTGACTATTTGTAGCTTCTTATGTACATTGTGAGAAGTTCTCCTTTAAGACTATTGTGGGGGGGGAAGGGGGGGGGGGGGGAATAAAAGGGTGGGTAGGTTAACTGCCAAGCAAATAAAAATGTATGCAACCAGTGCAGAGTCTTCAGTAGTAGAAATAAATAGTTTTGGCATTTTGAGTTTATATTTCAAAACCCAGACAGTGTAGATACTACAGATAACCATTCATAATGGCCATGCCTGAGCAAATTTAGCGCAAGGCTGGATTCACGCTACAGCATTATTAAAAAATGCTGCTTTTTAGTGTGACCGACGCACACATACACACACTTTTGGACTTTTTGCAGTTTGCACCAAAAACACACAAAAAGCAGCAAAGCATAAAGAAGTGCAGCTAAATGCGTGTTAAAAGGCAGCTGGAGATCCAGAACGCTGCTCAGCAGAGCTCACTGATCCCACATATCCCCTACAGCAGGGGTGGGGAACCTCCAGCTGTGGTGAAACTACAAATTCCATGGGCCATTGCAAGATTCTCATAGCCAAAAGGTATGGCTCTCAGAGACAGATGCATCATGGGATTTGTAGTTTCACCACAGCTGGAGGGCCGGAGGTTCCCCACCCCTGCCCTACACAGTTCTCCGAACAACTCTGCTCAGCAAGTGTTCGCGTTGTTGTCTGAAGCACTGTGCAGGGAATGTTGATCCACTCAACACAGTGCAGTGGTCTGGTTCTCTAGCATGCTACCAGCACAGAGAATTTTAACAAAGCTTGTGGCAAACGTGTACATTAAAAAATAAATTTGATGAATTCTTTGTCTCTGCAGACTGGCTGCAATACAGTAATAAAGACAGGTTCCATCGGGCTTTAAAAGAGAACTATCATATTGCTATATCCTGCGAACACAGAGCCGCACTGCAGTCGGGAAAGATCCCAACAATATTGTCGGGATCCACCCCACTGCCTGATTGACTACTGGCTCTGCCTCTCTAGAACCAGAGGCCAGCTGTGCCCTCCCTTTTCCCCGTCTATCCCTCCAGTGAGCACGGGAGGAACAGAGACTGGAGGGGCGAATCCTGCAGGGAGCGATGACTGGTAGTCTAGATCATGAGCTGAGTGATCAGCGGTTTGTGATCGCTCACTTAGAGCCGCCGGCATGTGACAGACAGTGTCACACAATTGCTCAAACTATTGAGAAGAGTACATTTTACTATCCCAATACTCCTTTAAAAGGTGAACACAACAAGAACTATAAAATATATGTTCAGAGAAAACTAAGTTTTCCCTTTAGAGAAGAAAACTGCAGTTGAAATACATACGGGCTATTTTAACTGCCAAAGAATTTGTCACCCAATCCAAATTATTTTCAAAATCGATTAGTTAGCCGATTAATCGGTTAATCGGATAAACAATAAAATACATTTTAAAAAATGGCTCCAGTGATGGACTACTAGTTTGTATTGAGATTGCACTCCATCACAGGAGCAAGCTTGGAGCGGTGGAAGTAAAAAATAAAAAAATATAGTGTGGTGTGCAATATAGTGAAAAAGGAAAGTGTAAAATTATACAGCAATGAATGCAGAATGCACCGACTATAGAGGACTACAAATCCCAGCAATAGTAAATTATACAGCGCAATGCAGAATATCAACAGCTATAGAGTACAACAAATCCCAGCAATAGTACATTATAGCTGGCGGTATTCTGCATTGCGCTGTATAATGTACTGTTGCTGGGTTTTGTAGTCCTCTATAGCTGGTGGTATTCTGCGTTGCGCTGTACAATGTACTATTGCTGGGATTTGTTGTACTCCTGTATAGCTGGTGGTATTCCGCATTGCGCTGTATAATGTAATATTCCTTGATTTGTAGTCCTCTATACAGTGCAGTGCAGAATATCACCAGCTATAGAGGAATACAACAAATCCCAGCAATACATTATACATACAGTGTATAATGTATTGCTGGGATTTGTATTCCCATGTATAATATACAGCACAATGTACCATCAGCTATAGAGGAATACAAATCCCAGCAATACATTATAGAGCACCATGTGTGGGAAAGTGCAGGCTTGCCTGAGCAGTCTTCCAGCAACTTGCTTCTGAGATCGGGCCTGCCTGTCGGCGGCTGTCATCCCCCATACCTGCTCCTCCTTACTACATTTCCCCGTGTCCCTGTGCCGATCGTGGATGTGGGTGGGCGGTGAATGTGAGGCGGGGAGGAGGTGCGGCGTAAAGAGCGTGGATGCGAGCGGGTCTGGCAGCGGCGAGCGTGAGGTGGGGAGGAGGTGCAGCTGCGCAGCGTGTGTGGAGCTGTGAACAGGGTCAACTGATCGGAAGCCGATTAATCGATTATTGGAAAAGTTGACAACTTTTTCAATAATCGATTATGTCGATTAGTTGTTGCAGCCCTATTGGGGAGCCATAGCTCATTGCTGATTACAGTAATTTTTCTTTAGAAAGTCACAGGCCAAGCATTAGTCTTTCCCATACCAACATATTGTAGAGAAGAAACCTTTCTGGCTATTTGGAAGTAGTGGTCACTGCAGTCTCCCCTAATGAATAAGAGCTCTAGCTCCAACTCAGTAGATGGTGTTGGACATCTGCAGAGAGACTAATGCTCCTACACAGCCAGAAAGGGTCCTTGTCTACAGTATGCTGCCAGGGGACAGGCTTTCCTACTCAGGCTTAATATTTTGAACACATGTTTTGATGCACCTGAAATTTATTCGGCTGATTTAAAGTGCAGTTCCACTTTTGTAGCCAAATTGGGAGAACGCCCATTTTATATTTGTATCATGTTCCCATTCAACAAAGTATAACCAAAAAAAAAAAAAAAAAAACCTGCTTCTTGCAGTTTAAATTGCTTTTACTTGGGTTAGGGTTTCTTGACTTCTTAAGGGTTAAAATTTCTATTTGCTGATCCTTCTTTGTAATGTTAGGAGGGGCTGTGGTTTAAAGGATTAAAGGCCTGGCTTCTCTATTCAAATGTTAATGAAGTTAAAAGAAACACAATCCTCAAATTTCAGTCCTAAAGCTGCCCACACAGACACACACACAGACTTTCTTGGTTCAACCTGCAGGCTGAACAAAGAAAATATAACAGATTCCTCAATCAATGCTTACAAGTGTTGATCAAGGAATCTCCCGCTATCTTCGTTGTATTCTGACAGCGGCTGCTAGCAGAACACCCGTACAGAGATGGCAGCTCATTGGCTGTCGGCTCTGTTCGTTCGAAGATTTTCCAACCAGCTGTATGAGGGATGCCTGCCAAAAGGGTGCCGACAGCAGCACCCACTGTGCGCATTTTGGCCAGTTCACCAATTATTGAACTGGACAAAATTTGCATAGTGTATGGCCAGCTTAAGTCTCTTCGTAAAGACAGATCATTGTGAAGGTGCTCAGAAAAACCTGGCATCAGCCATGTTGCCTGCTGCAACACCACATCTTAAAACGGTAAATATAAAAAAAAAAAATTTTTTTTACTATGCTGTGTGATTGGGAACATATGACAAACATACTGTACAGAGGGGTTTTCTCAAACTTGACTGCAAAAGTTGAAATACACTTTAAAGTGAATGTTTAATAAAGTGAAACCTGTTTCTCTGCCCTGCGTGGGCAACGCACAACTTTGCTTTAAGGAGCCTGTTAACCCCATTATCGAGTTTATCTTCAATCCTTTATTTCTGATACAGGATTACAATCAACCATTCAGCTCCATTGTCATTGTACTCGCATAACCTTCCCCTCCGCCTTACAGTAGCCTGATAAGAGAATGAAAGCAAAAGCCTGGAATGAGACCTTTCACCAACTGCACCGGAAAAGAGCCAAGGAAGCCAATGTGCAGACACCATGGATGAACGTAGATCTACAGTCATGGCACAGGATTAGGACAGGTTCACCTGAAAAAACCCAACTGGGTCAATGGGTATAGCTGCTGGAGACAATGTGAGTGCTGTACTGAACAAAGAACAGCCACAGCAGCTAGTTCTTTGCCTATATTAATAGTTCCAGTGGTTATTTGACTAGAAAAGTCATTGTTATAGCCATTATAACAATATACACATGTATGTAGTACAAAAACTTGAATGGTATAGTATGAATCTTGATGACTTGAATGGATCATGGTCACACTGAAGAACATATAGGAGAAAAGTTAGGGAACAGGATATAAAACAATTTTTGAAGAGCAGAAGGATTATGAGCATCATTTTAATAATGAAGGCAGTTTTCAAGGCCAAGTATAATAGCCAAGCAGGTTGTAACAGCACTAGCTTGAGGGACAGTCCATTCATCCAATAGCAGATAAGCTCAGAGCAAGTCATGCAAATGAGTCTTCCCGATCATGGCTGCTTACTAGAACATCAATAAGCAAGGGCAGTTTTAAAGGAGAGAGGATGGCGCAGGCATTGCTATCATTCCCTTACCTGCGGCATACCCATAGGTGGTAGATTTGTATTCTTCCCAACTAATCTTATCGTCTTTATTTTTGTCATAATCCTTCCAGTGCTTGTTAACATTCTCATAGATATAACGGTTCTGGCTGCGCGTGATCCAATCCCTCAGCTCCTGGCTGGTAATTAAACCATCCTTGTCTTTGTCTATTTTATCGACTATCTTCCTGGAGAAGAAAGAAGGGACACATTAGAAGAGATTGGAAAGGGGTCTCACCTATCAGATGGGAGTAGGTGTGTTTGTAGTACTCCTCCCAAGACACAGAGCCGTCACGGTTCTTATCAACTATCGCCATTTGTTTTTCTACATCTTCTGAGACAAAGCGCCCGTGTACAAACTTAATCCACGCCAGGAGTTCAGCCGCCGTGACATAGGTATCATTATTGCTGTCAATCTTATCGACCATTTTCCTGAAATGGACCAAAACTGCATTGATTAATTTCGGCAATGATCTCAAAGTGACTCTGTACTCATGAAAAATAAATGGGCGTTATGCTTCAGCTTTGTAAAAGACAGAACATGCTAGAGGGTACTATAGAGAGGTCAACTTTGTCAATGCTCCCAAGCCAATGTGATCTGTCACTATAACCGAGAAAAAAAAAATTCTATCATTTCTGGGTATGGGGCATAGGTGACACTCAATACTTAAGGGCCCAAGCAGCCAATTAGCAGGGCCGGCACTTGCATACAGGGGCCATGCCTAGCCATATGCATATCAAGACTTCAGAAAAACTATTTGCATAGGCTTTTTAGGGGTTGCAGTTGCAGAATGGGGGTATGCACCCAATGCTGCTGGCTTCCAGGCTGTAGTATTAATTTTATTTTTTCATGAGTAAACAATCACTTAAAGTCAGAACTCAGAACATTAATTAAAAAAAATTAAAAGTACATAAAATCCAGTTATGCAGTTAATCAAAAGAGCATTTTTTCCCATAAAGCTAGCCCATGTAGCAGATTCACTTTTGGCATTAGCCTCCTGTAATTTCTCAGAGGCAGGGTCAGCTGTCTAGGCCTATCTGGCCAGCATTTGTGTGCACAGGGTCCGCTCTCTAGGCCTATCCGGCCAGCATTTGTGTGCACAGGGTCCGCTGTCTAGGCCTATCTGGCCAGCATTTGTGTGCACAGGGTCCGCTCTCTAGGCCTATCTGGCCAGCATTTGCGTGCACAAGATCCGCTCTCTAGGCCTATCTGGCCAGCATTTGCTTGCACAGGATCCGCGCTCCAGGCCTATCTGGCCAGCATTTGCTTGCACAGGGTCCGCTCTCTAGGCCTATCTGGCCAGCATTTGCTTCCACAGGGTCCGCGCTCTAGGCCTATCTGGCCAGCATTTCTTGGCTGAATAGAATTTTTTTTAGAGGGTCAATTGAATTATCAATATGCTCTGGTTCAGCAACACTCATGTGCTGCACTTATTAATCCTGGCATAACCTTCTGGTATCTGCCTATCCTACTCCCATTTAAGCACAGTCAAAATTCCTGAGCCCTGAAGAAAGTGGAAATCTGGCCCCCAAAGTGTGTTGACTGTTTTTTTTTTTTTGCTGATACCCAATTTTATCAATTAAAAAAAACAATCCCCACTTTGGACTCTTTGTTCCCGTGTCCTTCCTTAGATTCACATTCTCTAGTTGTACTGATCACAGTGTGACGGAGAATGAAAGAAAGGGTAAATCCAAAATTGTGAGTTGCCACCAGAACAACAAAAAGGGGAAATCTTCGTATGGGTACCCTTGTTCCTTTAACAACTGTTTAAGGGGGGACATTGGAAAGATGTCTAACTTCTTTTGAGTGTACAGGACAGAAAGTGAAGGGAATTTTCCTAAGACACAAATGGGGGAAAAGAAAACCCAAGAACGTTACAGTATACCTCCCCTACGCTATCTAAACAGAAGGAAAAGGTTTTGGCTTTAGATTAGTCTCAGCTTGACAAATGAACATGAAGCACAGAGGTAAAGTGAATTGAATTAATAATCCTCATGAGCCTGGCTGTACCTCGCCTCTCTCTGCCAATCTCCTTACATGGACTTGAGATCACTTGCTGACAGCTCTGCAGAATACAGAGATCTCTGCAGCGGAACTGTAAACTGCATGCTTACCTCTGCCGTGTGTGTGTGTATACACACACACACACACACTATACAAATTGAACACTACAGTGTGTGTAGCAACGTGTTGCTACAATTAAAGTGATATTAAAGTTAAGGATTTTAAGCCATTTCAAATGCTGAAGAAAATCACTTACAATGGATGCTGCTAGTTGATGTTTAAAAGTTTTAGTGACTCCTTTCTCAAGCAAAGTGCTATGCAGTCACCCTTGTGTGTGCGCTAGTAAGCTGTGTGTGTCTCCACAAACAGCAAATCAAGCTACTTCCCTCCCCTCTGGCTCCCTTTCCTCCCTCCTCCAAGCTAGTAGAAGAACAGTTGCAGGAGTCTGCACTGTCCTTTGTGATCTTATACTGGACAGGAAGTTCAGGGAAGCTGAGCTGAAAGACATGGAAGCAGCTGTTCAGAAACATGATGATTGTAAGTGTTTGGGCAAAAATGTAAAGCAATGTTTTGCTGGGCAATGTATATTTGTTTGATCTGGATTCATTATTGAAAAAACGTTTGAGAGTTTAATACTACTTTAATGGTAAGTGTACATCTGCTTAGTGACAGTTAAATGAAAACAACTAGGATTACACCAATATAGGGCCGTATCGGTGCCAATACTGGGCATTTTCACAAGCACTCATACTATTGATACTCATACTATCTATTTGATGGCATCCCTAAAAACAATCCTACGCTAGAAAAATCAGGATCTGGACTCCCGCTCGATAAAATGACCAACTGCTAACTGACATCATTAGAGGCAAATAGGCACAAGCACGAAATGCCATCAAATAGATAGTATGAGTACCGATACAGCCCTAAGAATGGCAAATGCCCCCCTGCCTCTCCCACCCGCGGTACTGGTGACAGAGTACATCCCTGCACAGCCGCCGCGGGAACATACAGCTGTCACTGACTTTATTGCGGCTCTGCCACCCGCAGCATGCATGGGCGGCGGGGCTGTAGAGGCTGTCAGTGTTGGGTTTTTTTAACTAACAGCATCGCGCCGAGTGTTGCGTCACTGCTGCTCAAGCGGGCGGCTCTGAAAAAAGTACATGAGCTACTTTTTTTGGCAAATTACAGCACTTTTTGGTCCCATAGACTTCAATTGGAAACTATGTGCAACAAAATGCACAAAAACACTTGAAAGGCATGTTTCCAGGCGTTTCACGGCGTTTCACATTAACAAAAAAGTGTATGGGACCAAAAATCGCTGTGATGTGTCAAAAAGGAGACATTACAGTTACAATTCAAGACAAGATGTTTAAGATGGCCCTGCCCGTGAGAGCTTACACTTTGAAATGAGCAGGAATTAACTTACTGAAGTACCCAAGATATAACAATCTAAAGAGCTGACATGTATACAAGGCTCTACATATACAGAAGAGATCATTTTTGGGTGTACAGACCCCTTTAAACCTCAATGTGGTCATTATGGTCAACTCAAGTCATTTATTTTGAATTCTGCTTTCCATTATCATAAAAAAACAATAAATGAAATTTAATTTGTTAAACGTATGCAGACCATTGGGATTCCTAGGAATTTCTGACATATGGTTTATGCAGAAACAAAAGCAGGGCTGGGATGGTTTCCTGTTCAAACACTTCCTATTCTTCCCCCCTCCCTTCTCTTGAAGGATACAAAAAAAGAAGTGGATAGTGCCACGTTAACAGTCTGGAATGTTCCGACTCCCCCCAGGCTCTGTATAGGGTGGGAAATCTACAATGTACCTCCTTCTGTGAAGGCAGGCTTACACATACACTTCCAGTACAGTGCTTCTATCAGAGCTTCTCTCTGCCTCCATAGACCACGCAAAGAACCTCGCTGTAGTATCACACTTAGCTTCATGCAGCAGATTTTCTGCCTCTGTTAGCTAGTTCACAATCATATGGCTACCAGATCCATCCATCGGCTGATCCCTGGGTGATGAATGTAATGGTGTTTATTGAAGAAATAGGCATACTATTTGCCTGAAACACAACCAAATTGCATTTGCTGATCCATCAGGTTTCGCACAATTGTAACTTATTTGAAAAGTGGCACATTTTTTTTACCCAAATTGACCTTCGTGTATGATGTGCATGTCTGTAGGACAGTGGCAGGGACATTAGTTTGTAAGCTCCTCTGGAAGGAGGGCAGATATGAAGGATTCTGTGTACGCTGCAAGACCCTACAGATTGTGTCATCCCCATTATAAATAATGACTGACCTCTGGAAGCTGTACCCAAAAAAAAAAAAAGTCGGGCAAGGGACAATGGACTAGTCACCAGTACTGCCTGTGGTCTCCCAACAGTTGATCTTTTCCCATTACCAACTCACCATGCTTTGCTATGTACTTTGTGTGGAGGTGGCCATCTTGGTAGTGGCAGGGCTTTGCTTTCTCTTGTTAGAGCCTCCAGCAAGGAGAACACTGAGCGGCACAGTAGCAAGATAGACTAGCAGTCAAAGACAGCAGTGCCTTAGGTGATCTCACAGGCTGGGGCTGTAGGTATAGGAGTGTCTAGGCACCCCAACATACCAGGAAGTGTATTGCTATTTTTCAAGAAAAATGTCAGACAAACAAAAAAAAAAAAGAAAGGGGGACATTTTTCTGGGCACACCTTAGATACAATATTAGTTCCACATCTGGAATGCATTAAAAGGCCACATCTGATCAATGGCTCATCTAAACAGCCAACTCCCTAGTCATACTCCTTTAATAAGGCGTATTAATAAAACTATAAAAGTAATCTACAATAACCCAGAATGATGAATCAGAATTAACCTGTCACTGCTCTGGCCTCAGAAAAACAAGTTCTCATTGGCTGCTTTCAGCTACTGTACTTTGCACCTCAAGGCTCTGCACTCCTAATAGTGAACAGCACATGTCAGCTATATGCATGCAGTGAGGAAGATGAGGTGGCAATCAGTCCATCTCAGCCTGATTGAGGAGATCCTGCTGCATTCTGTACAGTTTGCTCGCACACCCCATAGCCAAACTGCTAGAATACACAGAAGAGTTACAACTCCTCACTACAGGTTTACCATTAGTGAACCAAGGTTAAAGTAAAAGAATTCAGGAAACTTCAAGTCCCAGCATGCCCCGCTGACTGACTGCTGGGAGGCATTATAGATTTGAGCCTCTACTCGAGGCAAAGGGTTTAGTGTGAAGAGTAATGATGATGATGTATGGAGACCATAAAAGAGGATTTGTGACCGATTCCTATCAGATACAGCACGTTCGCCTTATTAAAAGATGTCCAATCACATGGCTGTTTTTATTCTAAAGGAATAAAAGTGCCAAGGGCAACCCATTTCCCTACTAGAATATACCAAGGTATTGGAATGCCATGGGCAACAACTCCAAATGTACGCCAGTTTTTAAAAAGCCTTCCCTAACACGTCGGTACAAATGTCAACGGGCAAGTCCTGGTGAACTCGTGACATCAGTCCGGTTCTATGAATCACTAAGCGAACAATATTCTCCAACTAGTCTAGAAGAGGCAGAAATTCCACTGTAGAAAAATGAACAACGAGAACCATGACTGCCTCGGGGAATTCTGATTTTTATAGTGTATTTGCTGATGTACAAGATCATGCTTGCTCAACACCAATTGCACACAAGCAATTTCTGCCCAAAGCATCATAGCAGTTCCCCATCAATTTTTGTCCTTGGAAATGACAGTAATGTTCAAAACGGAAGTACTGTACTATTAAGCTGGCCACACACTATACAATCCAGACAGTACAAACTCCTTTACATTTACCAAAACTATGCAACATAGGGACAACCCTAAATAATCAGTTCAATGTGTGTCCATTCTGGTAGGCCCTTGCACTACATAGCGGATGGTAGATCTAAATGAGATTGTAAATTCAGAGATTGTATAGTGTGTATCCAGCTTTATACTATAAAATCTTTGGCAGCACGATACATTGACATTGTATCATTCCCCACCTATCCTTTTTCAGTTAAGATTTATTGAAAAACAATATTTAAAGGCCAAACCAGGATCTATATTTGAATGCATCATAAACCTGTCAGAATGTGCACAGTCTTTGAAGTAACATAACTTTGAATTGTGGGATTGCCTTGTGTAATATCACTGCCTGCATGATGAAATTTAGGGGGGTGTCCTCCACACTCAGGCTGCTGAGGAAGGGGCTGGATGGCACTGGAGGTCCTGTAGCCTGGAAATTTCTCAGTGGCCATGGACTGCAATGGAAATGTATGCTTCCTCTGAAGATCTGCCTGCATGATGAAATTTAGGGGCTTGTCCATGACACCCAGGCTGCTAAGGTAGAGGTTGGATGGCATTGAAAGTCATGCAGCCTGGAAATTCCTCAGTGGCCATGGACTGCAATGGAAATGTACACTCCACTATAAGGATCTGCCAGCATGAGGAAATGTATGGGCTGAGGAAGGGCCTGAATGGCTCTGTAGGCCATGCAGCCTGATAATTCCTCAACTGCCAGAGGCTGCAATAGAAATGTATGCTTCCTCTGGGAGGAGCTCTTCGTTCTAGGGCTTGTGTAGATGATGGTGTTTTGCACGAGAGGGTTGTGCATGACCTACTTTGCCTGCAATGCAATCATATCCAATAGGACACGCTGGGCCCAGAAAAATGCAGTGCAAAGCGGGTCAAAGGCAGAACGGTAATCCACTGTACCAATGATGTACATGGGAACCTTCTGTGCAAACGCACATCAAACACAGGTAAACAGTGGCCATGTACAGGAGTCCTAAAGAGGTTTTGAACTAGGACATGTTCACGTTAACTGTGATTTTTTGGAAATCACAATTCCTTGTCCTCGCAGACTGCCGTGCACTACATACGGATGCTGGAAAAGACCTTAAAAATGCCCTCAACCTTGTAACATGATAAATGCCAATTCCTTACCCCAGTCTCTCTTTGCTCTCCTCTGGGGTCAGCTGGTCAAATGTCTTCGCTTCCTCCTTGCCCAGGAAGGCTTCGTGGTCATACTGGAAGTCCTTGCTGTCATCGTGCTTGTGGTCGCTCAAGTCTTTATGGTGGTGGATGCGATCTTTCTTCTCCTGAGTTGGCACACAAGTCACCAACCACGAACAAAGAGTCACAGCTAAGAGAACGCTCAACGTCTTCATCCTTCCAGCAGAGGTGGACCTGGAACAATCACAATTTATTCATTACTAGCAAGCACAGCTGGACCCGAACCTGACCATCAGATCGGAGAGGGCAACCATCATAGTTCAGGTGAACATCAGTTTCCAACCTGAACTCGTCTCATCTTAAGCCCCTATTCACGCCTGAGTGTGTTTCCCAGAACATGAACACTCTCACTGAAGAATTCCATTATTTTCAATGGCGCCCAGTCACACTTGAGCGTTGTGTTGCCCGTCACTGGAGGCTTCTTTTTGGGCAGAATCATGAATTGTGGACCCCATATAAGCCAATGGGAGCACCTGGAAACTGAACATATATGTACATCTAACAACCATCTCCTTCTCCTAGTAACTAGCTTTCCATTGGCTAAAACAAACGCTAAAATATGTGCAACCCCCCCGCCTCCCCCACAACTAACATGTAAAAAGCAGCTTCTAAATCACCTGAAAAACACTCAGCTCAGGTGTGAATGGGGGCTCATAGGAGGAACTACAAATCCCAGCATACTGCCACTTGTTATATGGCCAAGCAAATCTGTTTACTCCAACTTTACAAAAATATATAAAAACACAACATTATTTATTATAACTATTTATGTTTATCCTTAAAACATAAATATTTTTAGGCTCAGATTATGCGATCTGTTGACAGATAAAAGCTCACTAATGCCAAATTTGGCCAGATAAGGATCTCAGATGACACAACCAAATCATTAATCTTGGGGCTGGCATGGGTCTGATCCCCCAGCCAGGGGGTGGGGGGGGGCATGGGTCTGAACCAGTTTTGATAATCTCCTCACCCATTCATTCACCTCTATGCATCGGCTGCTCTCATTCATGTCAGTTATTCCATTCAATCTTCATCTAATGTCCATGGCCGGCTTTATAACCAATCCCAGATCAGAAATGTATTTCTCAGCCAATTTCCATTGCATGCAATGTTATTAAATACTGCAAAATGAGTAGTCCGAGTATCCAGAGCACACATCCCAACCAAGAGATCATTATTTTATAAGTATTCAGAACAATGGAGAGGATGTGTAACTGTCAGCAAGTTTGACATTTGTTGCAAAAGCCCAAAAACTGCATCTCCCATTGACATGTGCCTCTAGGGAGCAGTTTTTGTGATCCTATTAGTCAAACATACCAAGCAAGCTGTCATGGCATTACTGGCATCCCCCAATCGCAGCAGAAACTTACCCAGACATGGAACTCCAAGTATCCAACTCAGTATCAACACTTTGTATATAGCGCACTGCCCCTTTAAATGGTCGTACTCGTATGGGCGTAAAGGGGGCGTGTCATTACTAATTAGAATACAGCCCGCCTCTAATGGGCGGGTATGCAGAAGGTTCTGGACTGGGAACTGAGCGCTGATAGGCCGGTGCTCGCCACGTTGACACGAGCACGTGTACGAGTGGCTGGGTGTAGACGTGCCGAGCGCGGGAGCGCGCAGAGATGGGACTGGTGGGTGCGTCGCTAGGCAACCTGGCATATTCAGCTGCCAGGGTGATGGAGAACAGCTCTTCAGCAGTGAGAAGTTTTACTTCCAAACAGCTTCAGAGCTACAAGTCAAATGCTGCATGCATGGATTTCAGCTGCCTCTGATTCAATGGATAGGCACAGTTAAATAGATGTGACTAGTAGAACATTGTTCCCATTTCCATTCTCCTATATTATTCATTAAAATGTGCCCCGAAGCCCCCACATCATGTGAATACATTCCAGGTGCATCAATTCAAAAGGTGTTCAATATCGTATCATTTTCTTTAGAAAGCAGCCGCAGCCTAAGTAGAAAAGCTTTACCTGCAATCAACCTGCACCTGGGTGTGGAAGCAGTAGTCTCTCTTCAGAGGCCAGTCATGCCCCGTGCTGAGTCAGACCAAAAGCTCTGCAATAGGGAAAGCTCTTTGTGATTAGAGAGCTCTGACTTAGCAATCGATGTGTCAGACTTCTGCAGAGTCCACTGCAGCCACATGGAGAGCAAGAGTCCTTCCCTATAGTATGCTGGTAGGGGACAGGCTTTTTGACTTCAAGTCGTGGCTCATTTTGAAAGAAACCAAACTATAACACTTGGCACACCTTCTGTTGTGTGCACTAGTGACGGGCTCGGGCGTGTTCGCAGCTCCACGTGCCGAGCCCGCCAGGAAGATGACAGCGCCGCAGCGCCAATCACAGGTACTGAGACATTATCCCGGTCCGCAGCTGCAGAGATTGGGAAATGTCTCCGTGCCTGTGATTGGCGCTGTCAGCTTCCTGGCGAACACGGCCGAGCCCATCACTAGTGTGCACCTGGAATATATTTAGCTAATTGGACTTTAAAAGGAAACTTAGAGGGTAGATATGTTTTGGGAACTGCCCTTGGTGAGGCGATGAGAGATCACTTACCATTACTGCAGTGGTGCAATTATAAACCATAATGCCCCATAGTAGAAATTAGATGGGGCCTTGCTTTTTGCATCCATGGCCTGTGTTATACCCTTAGTAATAGAGAGCCGTGACAGGATCGAGAGGTGAGCGAACGCCGCTATGTGTTCGCTCACCTCCCGATCTACTGAGCCGAACAGTGACAGTCTCATTGTCACAGGTCGGCTAGAACTATGAGGTGAGTGAAAAGCACTGACCTCACAGTTCTCCTTTAAGGAGGTTATAAATTGGGGGGATGGCTGAAATAGCAGAGTTTTTATGGGGTGTGGATATTGATAGTCCCGAGGGGGCAATAAATTATAGTAACGTGGTCCTCAGAACAAACAGAGATTTGTCTAGCAGATGGTGCAGTAGCATTAATCTGTGGAAATACATGGGCAAATGTAGTGATATGCAGCCAACACATTGTTGGGTTTGACTATACGTGGGCAGCACCCTGGCCCACTATTCCTGTGCCCTTGGCAGCTGCTGGTTTGATCTGCATCCTGTGACTACACTGCAGCTCTACTCTTCGGTGACATCCTACCTCGGTCTTGGACAGATGCCCCCGAGAGCTTTCCACAGCCAGGATGTTCTTCAGAAACTTCAACAGAGGTGTGGTCGTCTCCAGATTGGACTTTCGATACCCAGGCTAATCTGTACTAGGTTTGCCACCTTTTCTTCAAGCGAAACCTGAACATATTCTATATTTTATATTTTTTTGGGAGAATGAGTAGTGGGTTATTTATATGTAAATAGCACCACCCATTTATATATAAATTGGGGTGGGGGGTGGGGGGGGGCAGGGCAGCAGCCCCATCTTAACTTTGGTTGTCCCTGTCTGCCTGACATGCCATGAAACCCGGACACAGCATTCAAAACCTGGACTGTCCGGATGAATCCTGGACAGGTGGCAACCCTAATCTGTATCCTCTCATCCCCTGTCCACCATTTCCGGGATGTTTGGACCAGAGGTGTAAGGGAAGTGCCAGTCCTTACTTTAGCCTCCATCCAGGTACATTATATTGTTGCTGGCCTGATTCTAGAAAATTCTCCATGGCATCCATTGAGAATCCATGTGGGTTACTGCTGATAAATGCACATGGCCTGTGCAAACAGGACAAGTCAGCTGCCGAAAGCAAACTGGGAAGAGGGACAGCTGGATGCTGTGCTCTAACTCCTGTGTGAATAAACAAGGCCCATGTTGTGTTTACAGCCAGCAAGAACTACAAAAACTCAGCTCAACGAATGTACGCATATTGAGTACGTCAGGAAAAACAAGAACGCAGCTATGCTTGAAGATCTACGCATGCGTATGGGCGACAGGAAGGTTGAGCACGCGGCTGTGCCCAGAGATATGTGCGTGGATATGACTCGTGGCAAAGATCAATGTTGGCTCGTACATCTGCGTGTAGGATTGTGTTGGCTAATGCACAAGCGCATGAGCAAGAAAGAGCATGCTTGCGTCCACTGGTGCCCGATGGTCTATTTAAACATGAGCACCACTGAGGAGAGTTGCTGAGTGGTTGGCAGATCCTGCTACCTGTGGCCTAACTTGGGTATTACCTTCCTGTGTTTTGACCTGGCTTGCCTTACTATGCTATATCCTTATGCCTGGCTACTGACCCCGGTTTGTACCCTGACAACGCTCTCTGCTTTCCGCCTTCGTACCTCTGCTGTGTCTGACCCAGGCTTGTCTTCCGACCTCGCTACCTGTTGGATGTCCTGCTTTCTTGGCTGCCTGGCTGTTGCTGATTCTGGCCTCCATTCTCTCCAGTTTCCAGATGGTCTGCTGACACCTCGCTGCCTCTGGTCCAGTTGTAGGCACCCATGCTGTATACTCTGTTCCAACTCCAGGAGGTGCTGGACAAGATGTGTAAGGGAAGCCCTCATAACACTTGGCACCCAGGTAATGTTCAGTATAAAGGCAATAAACACCCCAATAACAGCAAGTGATGCCCCTGGCATAAATGGTTTGGTGATAATGGGGCAGTTTCTAAACTCATAGAGGACCTTGAAGAGGATGGGGACGAGCACTGGTAATACTTTGAGTTGTCAAACTAAATTAACATTTCTAGACCTTCCCTGTAACATAGCAAATCTTCACTTTTTGACTTTAGGTCAACTGTAACCTCCTAATGTTTGACCCCCAAGTCTAACTTTTGACATCTGCAGCTTTCACTAAAATATTGCTTAGTTATCCTTCCATGGAGGACCTGGTTCAAACACATCCTGTGACAGGGTGACAACTGTTTCCTAGTAGTGCTCCTGTGCTGTCACCCTGCCACAATCACCCCTGGTGGAGGCTACAGGTGGTCCTGCCGAGACACACATTAAATAGGCATGGTCTATCATTCTTAAGGTGCCCATACACTGGTCGAATTTCGGCTGGCTTTTATTGTGCCAGCCAAAATTCGCACAGTGTTATGGGGCTGTTGGCTCCCTTTCAGCCGGCATTCCTCGATCAGCTGATCGAAGGAGCCGGCTGGGAAATTTTCGATCGATCAGAGCTGGCAGCCAATGAGCTGCCCACTTAGATCGGGTATTCTGACAGGTGTCGACGGCACCTGTCAGAATACAATGTAAACAGCGGGATTCCTCAATCGACACGCTGTTTGTGTTGATGGAGGAATCGGGTCAATTTTTTTGGTTCAGCCCGGGGGGTTGAATGAAGAAAATTGATAGATCTATGTCTAGCCTAAGTGTCAGAAGGCTGGTCCAGATCAATGATGTGCAGCTGATGCTGGAGTAAGTGCATGACAGAAAGTGGCTGGAAAAGACTGGAGTAGATCGGAAACGCTGAGAGGCAAAAAAGTTGAAAATAGTATTTAAATGGAAATACAATATTACAATTGTCTTGAACACACAGTGCTATGGCAGACTGCCAGGCAAGGGTTTACATTTGCTTTAACCCAAGAATTATTCACCTCTGCTAAAAACTGAATTGTCAACCAATACCTAACCATCATCTTCTTGACTGGGCTGTACTCGGCTTACCCCATACCAGTTATTAGTGCTCCATGTTATGTTGCTGGACCAATTGCAATCTCCGAATTCTTTAGGCAAAAAGCATGTCCATGTCACCCCAAATAATATTTATTTGTACAACAGAAAACAGATTTCATTCTGCACATGGACAATTTCTCTTGCATTCAGATAGACAACATTCACTATGAGGAAAATAAGAAAAACTACTAAAGTGCAATCAAAGTACACAATGGCATTCGATTGAAATAAGACTTTTAAGTCTAGTGATAGGGTATAGAGTCAGAAATTCTGTGGGTAATATTAGTGTCTGTGACCTTATTGTGAAGAGTTCCTCCCATTTCCTGAAGATCCTTTGGCCCATTCTCCATAGTGTACATTGTTATCAGTTTTTGTCACCTTTTCTTTTGAAAAAAAAAAAACTTATGTCCACTTTCTATTAATAACATTGAGAACAGGTTCATACTTTCATTGGTTCATTCAAAAAAGCAAATGCAACATTCACATTTCAAAGTATCCCAAGCATAGATAATGCATTTCACCCCAAAAAAAAGCTTAATCATAGAGTTCAGCAAAATACTGGCCAAGTACTAATGATACATATAAATAATCCTGTACCATGGGGCTTCATTTACTACAGAGCAGAGCAGAACAAACGTTTTAAAACCCTTCCCCTCTCTCCTAGCAATTTTGTAAATAGAATACACAACCTGTGGTGCATGGTCAGTGTTTACATCCTAGCTCATCCTTGGCATATAAAATGCCAGGAATTAGCAGAAGTTACATCAGAATTAGCCAACCAATGTAATAAGAGAAAAGCCGAGAACCAATAGAAGTGGAGAAAGATGCCAGCTGACGGAGAAACGAGGGGC